CTGAGGCACCACCTTGGTGGCTTCCAGAGCAGAACGGGATAGCCTATGGCCAAAGCTGACCATTGGGTGATGGTGGAGGCTGTCAGCCCCTAAGCGATGGGCGCCAGAAGCTCCTAGCTATACATTTCAAATTAGTCCTCGCACCCTTATCGAGTGTCACCACCTCCAAAATGTCGACAAAACAGACCACAATCATTCCCCATTCCCAGGAGCCTTTGGTTACCTTTGAATATCCGTCGACGGCCGACCTTGATAAGATCGTAGCCAGATCGGTTGCTGCTCAAAAGGCATGGAAGAATACACCAATTGCACAGCGAGTAAAGATTGGAGAGAAATTCATGGCAAGTGACGACCCAAACGATTTGATAGATAACTAAATGTGCGTATAGGAAGAGTTCAAAAGTATGGATAATGAGATCCCCCTTGAGCTTACCAAACAAATGGGCCGGTTGGTGTCTCTGTTCGAATCTCAGACCTCACCCTTGACGCCCATTCATTCAGCCCTGTATCGCAAAATGCAGGAGAAATCCGTGGCACATTAGAGCGAGCAAACTACATGCTCTCAATTGCAGAGCAAGCCCTTGCACCGGTAGGACTAGAGGATACAGATAAACCTGGATTTAAGCGATATATCAAACGCGAGCCGTTGGGTGTCGTCTTTGTTATTGCACCATGGAAGTAAGTCATAATCGGATCATATCACATGATATCTTATTGCATGATAGCTTTCCGTTTCTCACATCGATCAACTCGGTGCTTCCGGCTATCATTGCAGGTACGTACCTCTACCATGCGATATATGCGCAACTTGCTGATCGCCCTCAATTAGGCAACTCTGTTATCTTAAAGCCATCCCCACAGACACCAGTCAGTCAATCCTATTTCAAATGATCAGTTCAACAGGCTCATCCGAATAGCTCACCGCACACCGCCTCCAAAGCGCCTTCGAAAAGGCTGGGCTCCCCACTGACGTCTTCATTGTTACACACCTGTCCCCCGAACTTACCGCTCACCTTGTGGAGCACCCTCAAGTCAATTTTGTTAGCTTTACCGGGAGCGTGGCAAACGGAAAGGTTTGTCCGTGCCCCTGCTGCGATATGGCCTTGGCTCATAGCATTTCTAGGCGGTCGCTCAGAATGCGGTGAAGAGCGGATTCAAAGGGGTGGCGCTAGAAGTAAGTGCTTAGGTTCCAAGACTATCTGTTTCTTATCAGTCGCATAGCTCGGGGGGAAAGATCCTGCGTATGTCCGCAGTGATGCAGATATCGACTACGCTGCCGCTGAGCTTGTGGATGGTATGAGCTAGTTGATCAAGGTCTCCCCATATGTTAACAAGGTCATATTAGGTGCTTTCTTCAACTCGGGACAGAGCTGCTGCGCAGTCGAGGTTCGTAACGGGCTGCCGAAAAATCATTCGATTTACAGGCTATGTCTTTTAGCGCATTTATGTTCACGACTCTGTCTATGACAGATTCGTCGCGGCCTATGTAGATATCGTCAAGGTAGGCGAGCCGATACGTCATGCAAGAGTGGTAACGAGCGTTTGTACCAGAAATACAAGCTCGGAGATCCCACAGAGCCAGGCACGAATCTTGGCCCTGTAGTGTCACTCGCGAGTGCGGAGCGAATTAGGAAACAGGTTGATGACGCTAGTACGTTTACTTGAACGGCTTCGTCAATTTTGAGATTGATCCACGAATAGTCAAGGCAGGTGCAAAGCCCCTCGTCCCTGAAGATCTATTCCCAATTGCAAAGTCGTGAGTATAAGTATATTTATTCCGGCGGTTATCTGATGGCTTTTAGGGGTACCACTTTTGTCGCCCCTCAAGTGCTTGTCGACGTTGATCACTGTGAGTGCAGATCAGCTGCGAAAATCGCTGCTTACGCCTGTTATAGCTATGGACGTCATGAAAGAAGAGACTTTCGGGCCAGTTGTGGGGATTATGCGTGTCCCGTCGGACGAGGCGGCGCTGCAGCTCATGAATGACTCTCCTTACGGCCTGACGGCGTCTATCTGGACAACCGCCAAGCCAGAATCTCAAGAGGCATTCTTGCGATTCGTCGATGAGCTAGAGACAGGCACCGTCTTTCTCAATCGCTGTGACTATTTGGACCCGGCATTGGCTTGGACAGGGGTGAAGGACAGCGGACGTGGCGTGAGTTTGAGCAAGTTTGGTAGGTGATCTTTTGCCGAAGCTCTGTTTTGATCATTGACCAGCTGGCAGGATATGACCAGCTGACCCGTGCAAAGTCTGTTCACATGAAGATTGTCACTGCATGACGTGAATAAAGTTAAATTTACCCAGAATTTTGTCACTATCCCAGGCCAAGTCTGGTGCCATGCCCTCGTCCTGTGCAAATCACGCTTCCTTCAGCCGCTCATTGCAATTGTTGGCGTGTCCAGGCTGATTTATGACTACAGCCACCCGAAAATAAATCGAATGATTTCATTTACATGGCAGCGTATCGCCAGGTGCTTCTTTTCTGGTCAGTCCAGGGCCCAACTCCACAAGCGCTCAAATGCTGTGCCGAGACGCCCGTTCAATCGCTATCATGAACGTGCCATAGTTGGATAGGGCTGGTGGACCCCGCCCGAGCACTGCTACCCTATGCCCGGTATATAACCTCGCGGCTTCTCGTAACTGTCCGTAAGTGCCCCCCCTTCCGTCCTGCCTTTCCGTTATGCGTGCATCGAAACTATTCCTTTCTTGGGTAGTGTTGGCCTCCACTGCCGCATCCCTCTCAACTCCTGAGCGATGGCGATTCGATCTCGAGATCCGTGGCTTGGTGAGTCTCAGAATACGTATCCTCTGACAGCCACTTGACCTCTTTGCAGCTTGACAAGCGCCAAGATCCTCAAGCTACCGATTCCCTAGTTTCTACCACTGCTGCGCCAAGCGATATTCAACCTACGACGTCCGAGGCTGTGCCTACTTCTGACTCGGTCGTTTCTTCCATATCTTCACCCGTAACCACATCCCAACCAGTCCCATCCCCTTTACCAACAAGCGATGCAGTTCCGACTGGGTCTAGTTCGTCAGTGCCGTTGCTATTTACTCAAACTCAGCCCACCTCTCGGACGATTGTTACTACAACCCCGGTACCAACCGCGAACAACAGTGACTCTAATGTCGCCTTTTTCGACTCCAAATACCACCAATTGATCATTGCTCTGGCCTCCATTTCTGCAGCGCTTTTGGTCGCGCTCATTGCTACGGCCATCATTGCTTTCCGAGCGCGAGCCGATAATGACCTATTGCACGATCAGCTATCTCGATACGAGGAGGGCATTAGTTTGGAACAGCGTGGCAAGGGCGGCTCCGTGGGCACTGCTGGTGGTTATGGTCGCCTGTCGCTCCACGACCCAGACGACACAAGGCACTCTCGTCGTTCGTTGAGCGAGAGTCAACTCAAACCCATGGCAGGACGGCGGTTGAGCGGAACACCCATGGGATCTGGAACTCCTCCGGGCAATCGACGTGTTACTTTTGGTTCCGAGAGCACACACACGCATTCTAGTTCGGGTCATTCTCCGCTCCTTGGTCCGAATAGCGGCAAGGATGCGCCCTCGGAATCTCTGGCTAAGCCCGCTATATCCCCAGATACTTCAATCCGTCGACTTCCAATGGCTCCAAAGACCTCGGGTAGTCATGAAAGCTATACTGATCCATTCGCTGGTGCTCGTTGAAAATGATCGTTTCATGTATTTATTGTAGTTGTGCTTTATGTATACCTTGATTTTGTGCGTATATTAGACTGCTATCGAGTCATTGCGCGAGCTGCAAGTCAGCCTGATCAAGGTGAAAGCATGAGCAATAAGTGCCGGCGGGGGTATATGCGACGGGCACGTGACCGTCCCGCTTGAAGTTACGGCGTTGTACCCCCACCTCCAACTCGAGACACACTGAGCCATCTGGCCCTCAGATGGTTTTTATTATTATTAAGTATTGCGAACTTGGCTGGGCAACCATTGAACCCGGCCAAGTTTAGGAGTCGTCATTGCTACAAGTCTCGCGACTGTGCAAGGTGAACAACTCTTGAAATATCTCGTGCAAGTTGTTCAGCTCTTTCGATGCTCGCAAGTTGAACAAATTTTGAAATCAGCAAATGTGACCCAACATAGTCACGTTTTGTCAACTCGAAAAGAGTTTAACAACTCCCTGTTTGCCAGTATAAAGGTTGAACAACTTTTGAAATCGTCTCGTGCGAGTTGAGCAACTTTCGGGATCGGCAAACCTAGCCCGACGCCAACAACTCGTTTGACAATCACACCCTCGACTAGCCGAGTTGAACAACTCTCAAAATCGTCTCGTGACTATGCAAATTGTTCAATTCTTATCTCTGTGACCCCGACTGGTGGCTTGCCAGTGTAGAATTGCGTCTTATTTGTTTGCGCAATTCTAATAAAAGAAATATTTGGCTTCTTAGCTAGAGCTGTTAGGCTCGTATGAGAGTGTATTCGACAGTAGATGAGAGTACTAGTACAAGAGGGATTTCGATATAGAGTACAGTATAGAGCGAAGCTCTTTCTACATGTGTAGAGAGAACATTCGAGACAGACAGACGTGGTGACACGTCGTTAACATATCGGTCAAAGTACACGTAGTAGCGAAATGCAAAGAGATAGTGAAATGCACTGCGTGCATTACACAAGTATTCGTCATATCGCAACAGCCAGTCTCGGCAATAGTCAAGCAAACTCTCGAAATCAGCCCTCCTGATCGGCTCGCCCTAATTTGTGACCCTGGCAGCTGTGGGTTACTACACGGGTTGAACAACTCTCGAGATTCCTTTTTTTTTTACACACTCAATGTTCCCGACCAGACATTCACTTCATTACATCGCTCGATCGAAACATCCTTGGCCCGGGACGAGACCGCCTCGAACGCTCCTTCCGGCCCTCGTAGATACTCAACATTGAGCAAATCAAGCGCCTGTGTCCGACCTCGACTTTGAACAACCATTTGTTCATATTCAATCATAACTGGTAATAAATAAAAAGGCCCCAGCTGAGAATTGAACTCAGGACCTCACCCACTGTGTAAGCGACCGCTTACGGGAAAAATCCCGAAGGGCGAATCATACTACTAGACCACTGAGGCTTCCCTTCCAAAACGGGAATAAAATACATACCATCTCAGATGGAAAAGCCATACATTTGATAGCCCATTCTTAGTAGCAATGCTTTTTATAAGCAACCATGCACAACTTTACCTATCCCATTACTACGTAGGCGTCAAGTTACAGCGCCTAAGGAAAACTCCTAAAGGGCGAATCATACGAGACCACTGAGGCTTGCTTACCATATCCGTAGCAAAGTTATTATTATATGCGTTTCTAAAGCTTTTAGAGGCACCACAAACACCATTGGCCGTATTATCAATTGTTCAATTCCTTTGAGAAGCCGAAAAAACGCTGATTCCCAGTCAAGCGCTATGATTCATCTAATCGAAATCTCTTGCCTTTGGCCTGCCATCTAGTACTACCACCGCGGTATTTCCTTCCTAAAAGCGACTAGAAGACGTGAAACAACATGAATTTGCTGTAGCGACGACGTCAACTCCCTACAAAAACATCTTGCTGAGCACTCAAGCCTTCCCAACTTTCTAACCAGTAATAATAATGCGTCCTTCTATTAGAACAATGTAACGTTGATACATTGCGCTACGCACACTGGTCAAGACAAGCCAAGACGATTTTTGTTCGGTGAAATGAGATAATTTATAGGATACACTAAAAATGCATTGGTGGCGCTCATTTCGAACGACCCATAAAAACAGACTGTGTATCTCGAGTAAATCTAGTTCACTACACGAGCGCCCGAGTCTTGAGTTTTTACAACCCGAAAATTTGATCAAACTGAAGAGCCTTTGAGGGTAGTGTCTCCTAGCCGTTCGCCGCCCGCTGTTGTCCGAACAGGCCTGTGGAATGCATCCTGGGGTCTTTCATCGCCCCGAAGCTATTCCACCTTTTGCTACGGGCGAATCGTGCCACGCTTCAGGGGTCTGACCATGCTCGTGCTGCCTTCGGCGGTTCGCTGTATGTTTCCCCAGCTGGTAGGTCGCATAGGGACAAGCGTTCAGCCCAGAAAACAGTTTGACACTTCCCTTTAATTAAGTGGGGATACCTTTAGCACATCAGACATTTGGATGCCCAGAAACCATTATTTGAACCTATTGAGAGCTAATAATACACCTGTTCGGACGCTTATAAAGTTTCTCAGGATTTTTGCGATAGTAGAAATACACTAGTTTCAGTATAAAATTGATGTAGCACGCATGATGAGCGAGATTTAGATTGATTAGTCTCAGTGGTTTAGCATTCAGCAGAAATGGTAGTCTTTCATCATCTCGATTATACAAATGAACAAATTAGTGAATCACATTTTTGAGCTGAGTTTTTGGCACAGCGGCTGCGTAGGCTTGGCGTTTCAAACGTGTTCGAGTCTTTTGCTCATATGCATACGCAAAACCGATAAGACTCGGCTCACTATATGCAGTGCCCAAAAAAGACAACCCGAATGGTATCCCCTGAGATAAGTTTTGGTTAGGGCTGAATGCTTTTTATGGATTACCAAAACGTACTGGAGCTGGGAAAACAGTGTTTGGTCCAGCGCTTTTGGGTACAACAACCGTATCATCGGGATGAAAGCCAAGAGGAACTGAAGAAAATATAATTCCCGGAACTCGTTGAGATAGTATAATTCTGCTCACCGGATATCATGGGATAACCGGCAATGGCGGCTGGGGCTGTGGTGTACCCTTTGAGAGATTTTAGCAGCAGCCAATGCAATAGGTCAAGCATTACCATTGCTCGGAAGAACGAGTGCGTCCAAGCTGTATGTTTTCAGTACATAGTCGATGCCTCTGGTTCGCCCAATATCGTGATTATTGTAGACGGCTTGATGGTAGGATTCGTTGTAACCTAAAGTTGCTTCAGCGAGAAGAAATCTGATTATATGATGTGATTGTCTAGTCTGCCCATTTAATATCGCAAACTTACGCAAGCTGTGACTCGTAGCCTTCTGGTTCCTCTAGTTCTTTATGCTTATCATTGTACACTATGATCTTGGATAGAGTGTCTGTGCCTGTGGGAATATAATTTAAACCTGCAAGATATGCGTTGATTCGGGTCTTTGAACAGTAAGCAAAGTGTGATTTGAGGATTTTCAAGTACGACTCACCTTGAGATCAACTTGACCAACCAGACGCTCGTTGTTATTGTCAATCATTTCCTCTGCGCTTGGTAAATCCGTTGGGTCAACGATAACCCCACCAAGCGATTGGATTGTTTTGAGTGCTTCTTCAAAGGCCACTCCGACTGACGGGTGATTCCCAAGCAATGTATCGTTTCTAAAGACAATTCTAGGCACGCCGAATCTCTTTCCTTTAATCGCTTTGGCATCCAGGTATCGCATATAATCGGGAATTTGTTTGGGAGCGGTTAAAGTGTAATTGTCTTTGCCATCCCTTCCTGCAATGATGTTTAGAATTGCTGCACCATCCGCAACAGACCGTGTCATGGGACCAACGGTATCCTGATGCGAATTTATAGGAATAACTGCCGAGAGTAGAGCGGTTGAGACAGTATATGTATACTACGGATCTCTCACCTCCAGCCCTTGATGTCAACCCCACAGTTGGCTTGATGCCGACAATATTGTTGTAGCTCGAAGGGCAGATAATGCTCCCGTCCGTCTCTGTGCCTAGAGCACCCGCAGCGAGTCCAATTGCCGAAGCTATGGCGCTGCCAGAGGAAGAAGCACATGGATCACCATTGGGGTAGTAGGGATTGGTAGCCTGGCCGCCTCGGCCCGACCAGCCAGATGCTAATATCCCTCGGGCGGCCGACCATTCAGACTATTCCGGGAACTCAGAACCTGAAAAGTTCAAAAGAAGCACCTTACAAGATTCGCTTTGCCTAATAGAATCGCCCCAGCCCTTCGGAGTTTTGCCGCTACAGTTGCGTCATCTGGTACAATTGATTTGTAGAGTGCATATGATCCCGCCGTTGTGTTCATTCCTACAAACCACAATGAGATAGTAACAAACACATGAGTCTTGGGTTCCTACCTTCACTGGCCAACGTCGCGATGTTATCTTTCAAGATAAGTGGAATTCCATGTAGTATGGACCGTTTGCCTGTCTTCTTTCGCTCGGCATCTAAATTTGCCGCTTGCTCCAGTGCGAGCGGGTTCGTCTCTATTATAGCTCGTAAAAGCGGACCCTCGAGATTGACTTCATTAATACGAGCAAGGTATGCCTGAATCATTGTTATTACCGCAAGACACAGCGTGAACGTGATGTCCAGTACCTTGACAAGGTCAACACTTGTAAAGCGACCTTTATCTAATCCATTTTGTAGTTCAGCGATTGATACTTCGTATAAATCTGGATATTCGATGGCACGAGGCGGAACGCAAAAATAGACGGCACCAGCTAATAATAAAGCAATTAGAGTCATGAAAAGGCGGTGCCACCACAGCTTCTGTCGCCTCGGCTCTTCTGACAACTACGTCAAAAACGCTAGTTAAATAAACAAATCGTACTTTTCATATAAATTTCGCTCACCATCAAGCCATACGACGCTCGTGTTTTGTCGCCCATGGTCGTAGTCAACAAGCCACCGATAGTTGGCTTCCATCACTGCGGCTCAGACATCGCGTGGTCGAAACGGGCGCTTCGGCGTATGGTACTGTACATCTACACCAACCCTTTTGCGACAAACACAGATTTGATTTGATTTGTCCGCTTGATTCCGTCTGTCAGGAATACCCTGGCTTCTAACTGTATCATATGCATTCAAATATTTCGAGTTCCAAACAAGCAATGCCCAAACCTAAGAAACGACATCCTTCAGCTGGGTTCTTGGTACAGCAGCAGCATATGCCCGACATTCAAGACGCGTATGAGTCTTTTGCTCGTATGCATAGGCGAAACCAATCAAGCTCGGCTCGCTGTATGCGGTCCCCAAAAATGCAAGTCCAAATGGCGCTCCCTAGTCCAAATCAGAATGGAATTTTTAGAATTTGGGTTAGGCGGACTTACAGGAGCAGGATAGACCGTGTTTGGACCGGCACTTCCTGGGGTGACTTTGGTGCGGTCAGGGAAAAAGCCAAGTGGAACTATGTCCAAAACTAAGCGATTCAGAATAGTACTTTAAATACAATGCATACCGGTGACGATTGGGTAGCCGGCGATAGCGGCAGGGGACGTAGTGTAGCCTTGAAAATCGGGCAAGTTAAAAAAAGCCTGGTGATCGAACTGAATAAACCCACCATTGCTGGGCAGAACAATCGCGTCTAGTTTGTACTTTCTGAGAACATAGTCAATGCCCCGAGTTCGCCCAAGCTCATAGTCGGCAGCAAGTGCAGCATAGTACGTAGAATTATAGCCAGTCGTAGCCTGAGATTCGATGAATCTATGAAAAATTCAAGTCGAAACGCGACGCCCGAGGATACATTAATATCCTTACATTGATTGATCTTCATATCCTTCTGGCTCTTCCAGGTTTTTGTGATTATCGTTGTAAGCGATAAGCTTGGCTAGTGTAGAAGCTCCAGTCGGAATGGATCGGAGACTCTTGAGATACACATTGACCTCGATCTACGCAACAAACTAAACAAAGTTTCTCGATCTTCCACATAAGGTTACACACCTTGAAATCTACGTCTAGCACAAACGTCTCGTTCCCACTAGCTGCAATCTCATACGCACTCGGCAAATCAGCTGGATCCACAATTACACCACCCAAGGCGCGAATGGTGTCCAAAGACTTGTTGAATGCAACATTGATGTACGGGTCGTTCCCAGTAAAACTGTCGTTCGTAAACACCGCACGCGGCACACCGAATCTTTTGCCTTTGATAGCGCCAACGTTGAGATATTTCGTATAGTCTGGAATCTTAGAAGGGGCAGTGGATGTATAATTGTCCTTGCTGTCGCGTCCGGCGATGATACTCAGGATCACCGCACCATCTTCGACGCTTCGAGTCATCGGTCCAACCGTATCCTGGTGCGAGGAAATCGGGATAACTAAAATCATACCGTTTACGAGCAAAATCACATGAGACCAAAACACATACCTCCAGACCTGGAAGTCA